AACTAGTTCATATGTTGTTTTACTCCGTCCGTCTTGCTTTCAATCTGTCTTATACGTATCAAATTATCCCCCACAAACGCGAATGACTTCTACAATAAAAGAGTTTTCCATGACGCAAATAATTGAAAAACTAGAGGAATTATACGCTTCTCTATTTTAATTTACCACCTTGATTGCGTATGGTAATATCAGCCGTTTCCTTATAACGAAATATCCAGCATTCATTGACCGAATCCAAGCAGTCATTACTACAGTCGATTGAAATTTATAAAATCTTTCCTATTATGACAATATTTTTGAAATAGCTTTCCCAACGCCACTGTTATTTTTCTTTCTTGATAAGTGATCCTACCGAACATTTTGTTCCAGATGGTGTGGAACCTAATCATCTTGATTATGATATCATTTTCTGTTCGAGTTCCATAGGACATCCATTTTAATTCATATTGCAGTCGAAAGTTTTCAAGTGACGCGCTTTCTGTTATTTCTTATAGTTTTCTATAGTTATTTCTGTTAAGATTAGAGTGATTATATATACTTATTGCTCAACTTAGAGTCCAATTGTGCTATAAAATCATGTAGAATTCCAGTGAGATATCTTTAATCAGTTGTAACATACAAAGGTTCAGAGCTTATTCTAGCAATTTTGCTTTTACACGATTTGGACAATTTTGTTTTTACATCCAATATTGCAAATTGCTACAAAACCTGAAAACTCAATTTATATTCTAAAATAAACTAAACAGATAGAAACATAAATACATATACATTTCACCAAACTCCCCTGGCAGTATCTAAACTTTAAGCTCTTTACAACCACCATCTAAGATCAATGGTTAAAATGGCCTTGTGCGAGTGAACCTTGAGGAACTTAGTAAAGTCCATACTTCTTCGAATATTGGGGACTGGTGCTACGGAATTGCAAACAATGTTCTGAAGCAGATAAGAAAAAACGCATCCCTTTCAAATGCAGCAAGAGCTAAAATGGATATCACATGTAACGTGAAGACAAAATAATGACATAACTAAGACGTTGACTTTCCACACTACTTCAAGCCCAAGGTTAAGAAGGAAAAGTTCATGAATCAAGGGGAAAGATCAATTAGTGGAGTTGAGAAATCTGTTTTCCTGACAAATTGTTTTTAGAGAAAGATTGTATAATTTCTAACCGGCAGCTGTATTGTCTGCTCTGTCAATGAATGTCAAAGTTTTCCTAATATTACATTTAACATTAATGTTTGTTTCATTTGTTTTTATTTAATTAAAAACAAACCAACGCGAATTGTGGTATTACTAAACTATTTGAACATGCCAATATTTTACAAATATTTTTTTATCTCGTTTTTCAAATTCTTTAAATTAATATCCATAACAATTAAAACATTAAAGTTTCTTTTAATGTCAATGTGGATAAGACGATATTTAAAGAGAATTAATACATGTAAATCAGTATAACTGAAATCAAACCATATTATATATATATATATATATATATATATATATATATATATATATATGTGTGTGTGCGTGTGTGTGTGTGTGTGTGTGTGTGTGTGTGTGTGTGTGCCTGAGCGCGCGCGTTTGTGTGTGTGTGTGCGTGTGCAGTGTGCGTAAGGGTTTTGCAATTAATATGGTTTACCTGTTCAGAGCATAAGTGCGATCAGTTTGTAAGGCTCCAGCGGAGAAGTGTTGCTTGTAGTGAAGGGCAAAATGCATTCACTGTATCAGAATATTACAACTTGACAGTACCAGAAAAAAAATGGACATTATCAGATCACCACAATTGGACATTATCAGAACACCACAATTGTAAAATATCAGAACACTACAATTAGACATTATCATAATACCACAATTGGACAGTTTCAGAACACGACAAATATACATTATCAGAACATCACAATTAGACATTATCAAAACACTACAACTGGGCAGTATAAGAACACCACAATTGGACATTATCAGAACACCAAAATTGGACAGTTTCAGAACACCAAAATTAGACATTATCAGGATATAGAATATATATATATATATCTGTCATAGAACACCTCAACTGGACATTATCAAAACACCACAGTTGGACATTATCAGAACACCACAATCAGTAAAGCGAATGCGGAGCATTATCAATGATAGACATTGCTAGAGGTTCCCATAGTTACCGAGGGCACAATCTGCAATGTGATGCATGATGACATTCGATAACATTCATACATAACAATGAAATATTTGTTCATGTCGGTACACACACAAGACCTTAGGTCACCCCGGGCAAAATGACTACTAATTACAGTTTGAAATATCCAGAAAACCGTTGCGTGCTTTGTTTGTCTCTCTTCCTTGTTTTTTTTTCTTTTCTTTTTTGAAATGAAAAAATTGCCCAGAATCAGAAAGTGAACCGAAGAAATGTCCACCATGTTATGAACACCATATTTCCCGCTTCTATGAAGGTTTCAGTTGTGATGACTATAGGGCAAATATATCATTCGAATTCCTACTTTTTCCGCTTGTCTTTGGTTGAATGATGCTGCCTACACTGGATTGTTGAAACCGTTGTGTAGCCTTGTATAGCCTCTGTATGCGATGGTATGTGTTTCAGAAAGATATTCCCTCTCCTCAGAAAACTCTGATGGCTCATGACTGGATGAAAACCAGTGTGCACAAGCACAGCACACCAAACATGTGGCTAACTAACTCGCCAGACCTAAATCTTTTACGTGTGGGATGCTGTTGAACGCAAAACTATTCAGGGTTACCCGAAGACGTCTGATTATCTGGAATCTCTCATTATCTCATTAATGGTCAATAGCAAGAATGACTGGATAATGCGCATGTCAACAATATCCGTCCTGCATTGATGCAATCATTTCTGTTGAAGGCCGTTATATCGAATAAACATGTAATCCAACATTTAGTTTATCGTTGTACCGCGTTTTGTGTCAATGAATTTCCTCATTTGTAACATTTGTTTTCTTACCCTCTCTCTTTCTCTCTCTCTCTCTCTCTCTCTCTATATATATATATATATATATATATATATATATATATATAGTGCCAGGATGTATTCATTAAGACATGTCTCATTAAATAATTTTAAAATGTTTTGTCTACTTATTTTTAATATGATCCTCTCATATTCACGGACAAGCTTCTTAGTATCCTTATTAAAGGAAGAAAGGAATTTGTATTATTGATACATATTCATTTATTCCAAGTAGTTTCAGAATTAGCAAAATGTCATCTTCAAGTTTTTTTTTGTTTTTATAATATTATATTGTAATATAAAATGCTGTGTTTATCTGATTTTTTTTATTTGCGAATTGAAATTTCGATACTTATGTACTGTAGCGTTTTTTTATTATTTTATTATGTAAGCATACTCATGCAGTAATGTCACGGGAGATAACTAAGATATTAAGATGTCGATCTATTTTTAAAAACTATTTAAAGCTATTATTTAAACCTAGATATTATAAAGCTATCAACTGTAAACTCTTTAAAAAAATTATGCATTATTCATAATTAATTTATTAAGTTTTGGTTTCATTATTTTAATATAAATAGCATCAAGAATTTTTAATTTATGTTCATTATTTTCCTGGAAAATTACAAAGTGGACAGGCATGCTGTTGTAAATGTTTAGAAATGTTAGATGCATCATTCACATGAAAATTCAACGTCCGAAACAACGTAGTTGTAGTGTGACTAACATAAATATTATTTTTCTGATGGCGATACATTTTGCTAATGTTAAAATTATTCGGAATAAATAACTATGCATCAATATGGTAACTTTCTTTCTTCCTTTAATAAGGATACTAAGAAGCTTGTGTCTGAATATGATAGGAGTACACATACACATTACACATATACGCGCGGTCTTAATTATCATTTTATCGCTCTGAAGTTTTAAAGGCTGAAACATATCACAAGAAATCATCGTATCATTTGTCATAATATTTTTGTTGTATTTTTCTTAATTTTTTCTTGACATATAAAAATGTATATATTGTTTTCTCTTTCACTTAACGTTGAGAAAAATTAGACACTTGTGTGCTTTACCATTAACACTAAACTGAGCTTACTAAATGACAAAGCTGAATAGAAAACTAACATAAAAGTACGAGAAAATTTTTTCTTGTCTTTGGAAAAGGTTTTTATTATATTTTAATTATTATTTGCTTATCAATTTCATGAACCTTCGAAATTATTATTTTTTGTTAGTATTACAGCTTTCTTGAATAGATGTCTGTTATAGGTACCTACGAAAAATAATGTTTATTCAAATAATTTTTCAAGCTTTCAGAGAAATTGCAAGCTCCGATAATTGATTCAAATGAAGGTATTACTGAAAATCACCTGGAAATTTTTTCAGAGAACTACAGAAGCATATTACACTTCTTGTGCGTTAAGATGGCAAACATGTGGAAAATTCACAATCCCAAAAAAGTAAAATACTTCATATTATTTTCCTGTTTACAGAATAATACTATCATGCGCAGTTACAAAGATACAAATATTTTAATTAGCACACATACTTTATGGACAGCTTGTGTTTATATATATATATATATATATATATATATATATATATATATATATATATATATATATATACACACGCCCCCAAATATTCGGTCGAGCTCTTTAGAGGGAAAACTCGAATTTGTAAAACAGTAACTGTTACTGCTGATAATGCAAAGCTCTTCTATGAATCGAGCACTCTGAGTTACTGTCGTGTTTATTTAAGAATAAATATGTAAAAAAATCACCTTCCTCTCTGTCGGGAGCTGATAGCTTAGGGGGAAAATTATGGCTTGATGCAATCGGATGTCTAGTCAAACTGATGAGTTGTGATACAACAAAACAGTCTCAGTGGTTGACATATATATATATATATATATATATATATATATATATATATATATATATATATATAATCATTAGTAATTGTAGACTGTATTTAGAAGAAAAATATCAATATTAACTTTTTAAGC